TTTAGGTGCCTAGGAAAGAGTGATAAAGGTTGCTGGGTATATTAGTCAAGGTCACTTGGGAAGACTGTTTTGTGGTTTATTCTTCTGAGCTCCTGAGTCATCCCTCATTACTGATGTACCTGATGATGATTAGCAATGTAACCAATAAAAAAAATTTTTAATACAACATGTAGAACCATCAAATCTAAAGTCCCTCATCATGACAATACCAGCTCAGCTATAAGTCTTCCCAAAAGTTGAGCTGGTCTATTCACACTTTTACTTAGTTTCAAAGAGCAGGAAGCCTGCAAAAGTGGAGAAGCGCTGGTGGTCCCCGTGAAGAGCGCCGTTGCCCATTCTCAGCCAAACCTCATCCCCTTTGGCCAGCTTCAGCACTGCATGGTTGCTGGATGTATCTGATTTCCCCTTTGTTTCATAACTAGAAAGAAATAAAGGCACCAACTACTTAAGTCTTTGCAGAAAACAGCCAGCTCTTTACCAAAATCTGTCCTCCCTTCTCTTCCGGAGTCTCATACAATTACGCATAGTCCTGGGATTAAATTCTCTAAATGACATGTGAACAGAAATGACATGTGCCACTTATATATAGGATTCACCAATACAGCTCTCACAAACAGCCCCCCTGCTCCTTCCTCATTATGACTGTGTGGAATGCTAATGACAATGACCAGCATGACCATGGAAGCCATCTGTCGAAGCCCGAGTGTTTGAAGACTGTGCCATGAGAAGAAAAGGAATTTCTATCATGTTCGAGCCCCTTGGACCAATGTTATAGCAGTTCAGTCCACCTTAGCTAATTTAGAATTTGGTTCTAAAGAAGGGTGCCGCGATAACGCAAACTAAAACATGTTTCATCGGCTCATGGTCAGGCAGAGAGCAGTGAGGAAACAGATATTGTGGGCTTGAAAGTTGGAGATCCCTGTCATGCTAGAGCAAAACATTTAGGAAAACGTGATGACTTGGAATAGAATGCCTGATGCATAAAAATGTCCACAAGCTTGTCCTTTCCTCCTTCTGACTGTGGCAATGACAATGATGTGAGAATTCGGGAGTCAGTTTTATAGATGGCAGAAATGTTTTCACCAGCCCACATCCCTCAAAAACCTGGTGGAGCAACCCTCCTTCCAAACTCCACACAATTCCCTCCTCCACCCTTTCCACCCCATCCCTCCCCAACCTGAAACCGGCCAAGAAAAATTGAGTTCTAGTGTGTTCGAGCCACAATATTCTGGATCTCTTTGTTGCAGCATTTCACCTACCTAACTCATCTTTTTCTCTTTTGGCTTTTCAAAGCCTCTTACTAGAGGCCAGGGTCCAGAAGAAAAAAATATGGCAATCCCCACAAGTCATCAAAAATAACCGAGAAAAGATAACAACCACGAAGTTTTTCACAGAGTTTCACAATACCTTACCCATTTATTTAATTATGGGAAAGGTGTTGGCCTCTCTTCCCTACATCTTAAGCTTATATCAGAGCAAATTGCAATATTTCTTTTTTAAATGAACTTTTTTCCAAGGTGCCTAAGGGCCAGCTTGCTAAGGTAAACATCAGAGCCACAACAGTGCCTAAAGAAGGAAACCAACTCCCAACTCTTGAACTGCCAGCTCCAGGGATGATAGAGAAGGCCACCAAAGGGCTAAACTCTAGGCAAAGGGGGCGGAGAGTAGGAAAGAAGAAGAAAAGACTGAGAGGGAAGGAAAGAAAGAATGAGTTGAGAAAAGAATACAAATGATTAGTTATGGGGAGTGTTGCTAGTAATTAGTTCAAGACCTCTTATCAACCTGCTTATGCCCAAGTTTATCAGATTCACTGCTTCCCAAACAGTAATGATAATCTGGCCGTATATTGTACATGGGAGGTCTCAACGACAACAAGGTTTATGCCAGTCTCTGTTGATTCCTGTATACCTGCTGGCATTGGCCATCCTTTGAGCGAACAATGGCAGAATGGATACCTATGATAGAAAAGGCCACTCACCTGTACATGCTGAAGACCGTGTTGCCATTGTGCATGAGGTACACATACACTTCCTCAACGTCCTCATGCTTCATCATGCTGAAGGTGAAGAAATACACACCTGAAAGAGGCCGATATTTATCCACATTTATATTAACTATTGTACCTTGAGGACGGGGAGATAGCGGGGAGATATGTCACATGACTTCACACTTCTTTTGTTGCTATTCTACGTGGTATGTAGGTTCTTCTTGGCCTTTATTTCTATGAGTGTCCCTTAACCTTCAAACTGCTTTACACATTGAGACTTTCTCAGTGTGTAGACCATGTTTCCCTAACAAGAATATAAAGTCTTTAAAGGCAGGATTTGGCTGTATCTCATGGCCTCTCCTTGCCCCTAACAAAGCGCAAAGTATAGAAACCCATCCCTAGGTTTAGATTAACCATCATTCACACCTTCCTCAGGACGCATATGGACAAAGTAGAGAGCCCTGCATGGAGGCACCCATGGTCTTCTGTGGCCTAACAAAATGACCCAAGTGCAACATTGTCATTAGTCAAAGATAAGAAAGTACTGTAGCATGGTGAAATGTTCATCAGTTCTAATAGCTCCAGCAATTTCTCATGTTATTCATTGTAAGTAGGTGAAATTATGTACAATAAATAGAAAGATTCAACTTTGACTCAGCAGCATGACCTTGCTACTAAAAATATGAATCCTTTTCATTAAAATAACACCAACATATTTTAAAATATGTTAGTTTTCTTTTAGGAGTCTAGGGCTCCTAATTGAAAGTAACTTAATATACCTGATACACTTTAAATGCCAGTGTAGAAAATACCTTCACTGAAAGATTAAGAAGAATCCAACAGTAGAGAGATGAGTGAAAAGGAAAATCTTCCTAACTCTAAACGATCTTGGTTTTGAGAGTGCATTTTTGAAAGATGAATGAATATAAATCATCAAACTCTTATTGATTTCCATGCTACATTTTTAAACTAATGGCCTTGTCTTAATCTATTTGAGCTGCTATAACAAAATACAATAGACTGAGTAGCTCATAAATAACAAAAATGTATTTCTTACAGCTCTGGAGACTGGAATTCCAAGACCAGGTGAAGGCCCTCTTCCAGGTCACAGATTTCTGGTTGTGTCCTTACATGGCAGAATGGGCTAGGGAGCTCTGTGGGACCTCTTCTATGAGGGCACTAATCCCATTCATGGGAGTTCATGTGATCTAGTCACCTAATTCCATCACCTTGGGCATCAGGCTTTCAACATGTGAGTTTCAGGGGGACACAGTCAGACCATAGTAGACTTTGTAAAAGAAAAACCCAGAAACATCTTAAAAAAAAAAAAAAAAAGCACCACATAGTTCTATGCTGTTTTCCAAAGGTGCAATCAAGTAAAATAGAAGCTCTAAGGCTACCATGTTGATCCATCTGCCTCTGAGTCAAGTGGAACCAAATAAAGATGTATGATTGGGCTTCCCTGGTGGCGCAGTGGTTGAGAGTCTGCCTGCCGATGCAGGGGACATGGGTTCGTGCCTCAGTCCAGGAAGATCCCACATGCCGCGGAGCGGATAGGCCCATGAGCCATGGCCGCTCAGCCTGCGCGTCCGGAGCCTGTGCTCCGCAACGGGAGAGGCCACAACAGTGAGAGGCCCGCGTACCGCAAAAAAAAGGCGTCCTGGAAACGAGAGACAGCAGATACCCAAGTGTTGGCACTGTTCAAGGGACAGGACATGGTAACACTCCTGTCCTTTGGGCTTGGCAGGTCATGGGGGTGTCCTACTGGGCTCGTACCCAAAAAAAAAAAAAAAAAAAAAAAAATGATGTATGATTATGCTTAATTTAGTGTCAGGCTTGCATATTCAATGTGCTGAGAATAAAAGATATGGTATCAAAATAAGTCATGTTCATTCATATGCCTAAAGATTGGTCCACAGATGAAAAGTAAAGGCAGATAGAAATTAGAGACTCAAAGAAAGTAATTTATATGTGTGCAGTTTTTCACATTTTACAAAACTTCTTATTACATGCACACACAACAATTTTCAATGCCTCAAGAAGATAAAGTGGCAATCAAAATGACAGAAAAAGGGACTTCCCTGGTGGCACAGTGGTGAAGAATCAGCCTGCTAATGCAGGGGACACAGGTTTGAGCCCTAGTCCAGGAAGATCCCACATGCCACAGAGCAACTAAGCCACAACTACTGAAGCCCGCCGGCCTAGAGCCCATGGTCCGCAACAAGAGTAGCCACTGCAATGAGAAGCCCACATGCCACAACTAGAGAAAGCCTGTGTACAGCAACGAAGACCCAATGCAGCCAAAAATAAAATATAATAATAATAATAACAAAATGACAGAAAAAGATATTACTTTTCCTGGAAAAAATGACTATTATAAAAAATAGATGTAGAAGCATTTTAGAAAGACTAAGAAACCAAATGGTAAATAAATGAAATGACTATAGAGTTGGAAATATAATACAAAAGTGAATCTATATTATATCCACACGTGGCTTTGGTCTGCAAGGGAAGGTACTAAAACCAGAGATAATACATTTGAACTCTGTTTTTCAGGTCTTTGTGCTACATAATTGTAAAATTCAGCCTTCTCTGTCCCATCACTCCCAGAGTTAAGAAGTATGAAAAGGTCATTTTATAATCTATTGGATGAGGTTTAAACAGTAAAGTGGGAGTCAAATGATGGTTGTTATTGTCTGAATTATGTCCAGCCCAAGAGAATTCTGAAAAACAACTAAATCCTTGAGCTTCAATTATAAAGCCATTGAAAGCAATGGAAGCATTCATTGGGCATATCTATGCACCTATGTAATTTGTGGCACAGACAGTGTTTAACAAAATAGTTATAGGAAAATCATAACATAAGCCTTCAGAACAGAAGATCACATAAGAAGATTTAAAGCTGATTGAAGCATGATGAAAGATTGCATCTATCACTTCGTATGTCAGCTCATTTCTGACCTCAGCTGGGTAGAAAAATAAATCAAGGCACACATTAAAAGCATTTGTGACAGGACTTCCCTGGTGGCACAGTGGTTAAGAATCTGCCTGCCAATGCAGGGGACACGGATTTGAGCCCTGGTCTGGGAAGATCCCACATGACGTGGAGCAACTAAGCCTATGTGCCACAACTACTGAGCCTGTGCTCTAGGGCCCACAAGCCACAGCTACTGAGCCCACGTGCCACAGCCACTGAAACCTGCACACCTAGAGACCGTGATCTGCAGCAAAGAGAAGCCACCGCAATGAGAGGCCTGTGCACTGAAATGAGGAGTAGCCCCCTCTCGCCGCAACTAGAGAAAGCCCGCACGCAGCAACGAAGACCCAACACAACCAATAAATTTGAAAAAAAGAAAGCATTTGTGACAAATCTAACATGGCCATTGCACCCATCCGAATTTTCTTTTTTTTTTCCTTCTCAATACCATATACAGAGACAAGGAAAACTGACAGCAAACACCAAAAAAGTATCCATTCTCTGCAAAATTAGGAGACTGAAAACAAATCAATAAACTTAAAATATCAGTTAAGTGCTGTCACATGTCACTGACAGCAGGCAGAGTCACGGGGAGTCAACATGGAGGGCAAGGAGTTTTGAGGAAGCCAAGTGGCAGCAGATCTCAAACAGTGCCCAGAAAAACACACTCCCTGATGCAGAAGGGCCACTCTGAAATACAGATGCTGAAAAGAAGCTCCTGTGAGCAGGGCTGAGATGAAGCAAAAGTTATGTTTGGGGAGAAGGTTGCTAGATAAAGTACAGAAAGTGTGGAAAGCCATCCTGCAGTGGCAGATCTCAGAATCTGCCAGCAAATATAAGGCTTCTAAAGGCAAAGGAACTGGCAAGTGCAAGGCTGGTTTTAGAAGTTTTCCTAGAGCCAGCGCAGTCTGGGGAGACAGAGAAGTGTGGCCACACAGAGAAAACACACAAAGCGGCTGTAGTTAAAAGAAGTGGCGGGGCTTCCCTGGCGGTCCAGTGGTTAGTACTCTGTGCTTCCACTGCAGGAGCACAGGTTCGATCCCTGGTAGAGGAAGTAATATCTGGCCAGCCCTGCGGGGCAGTCAAAAAAGAAGTGTAGAGTGCTCGCTTCGGCAGCACATACACTAAAATTGTAACGATACAGAGATTAGCATGGCCCGTGTGCAAGGATGACATGCAAATTTGTGAAGCATTCCATATTAAAAAAAAAAAAAAGAAAAGAAAAGGAAGAAAGAAAACAAAGAAATGGGGAGTCCCCTGGCAGCAAGGTAGGAACCACCAAGCCACCAAGTCTGGAAGTGTGCTGGGGTCCCTCCCCTTCCCCAAGAAACTACTGCATAGAGCTGATCTAGGAAAATTCTTCAACCATCAGTTAATTTTAGAAAGTAGAAAAGAACAAAAATTACTCACCAAGAAGAGATTTTATCATGTGGTAGATGAAAAATGTAAGCAAAGATTCCATCATGGGTTTGAAATATATTAATGAAGCAAATCCCTCTATGAAAGAACATTGTAAAACAGAATGCAGAAACCCATGGTAGAAATGACCAGACAAGAGGAGGAACTGAAAACCAGGACATCATGACTAATGTAAAACACAGAAAACGTTTAAAAAAAAAAAAAAAGAGTATCACAGAAACAAGACAGAAGAAATTGGAAGAAGCAAAAAGGATAATTAACCCCTAGAAGATGCAATCAGACTAAGAAAAGTTAAAAACAAAACAAATAAAGTATACTTGGAGTTCTTAAAAAAGTTAACCAGTGGTGTACTAAGGTGCAGGGGAGGGGGTCAGGGGGATGCTTGTGAGCAGTCCACCCCACAGGGGAGGAGTATTTTATCTCTGACATGATTAGAACTGCTGGTCTATGATGCTAATAAAAAAATCTAGCTAACTTTAATTGACTTTATTACAGTTTTTAAATATTCTATAGACAATATATCCTGTTTGCCTAATTTCCTAACACAAGTCAGACTGCTCCCAATGCCACCTCACCTTAGTACAACGAGAAGAAAAAACTTTATTTATGTTTTAAAATATAATTCAAAGAAGCTTTCCCAGACAAAAAGAAGGCTTACACACACATATTGAAAGGACACAGCAGGAAAATTTGACCCAGAATGATGAACACTTCTTCTAGAAAACTCACTGGACTTTGAAGATAGAGAAGGAATTCTTTGGGAAGTCAAGCAGAAAGACTGTCACTTATAAGATGAAAAAACTCAAACTTATGTCAGAGGTCTCCAGACCAAATGCCAGAAAAGAGGACCAAAAAAAAAAAAAAGCCAAGGTTTTTATTTGCAGCCAAGGTTATAACAGTTTAGAGCATGTAAAGTCTCAGGGAATACTGATGGCATAAGCTTTCTTGAGAAAATTAAAGATAAAGTTTAGCTAATAAAGAGATGTCTGGGAGACTGGCAAAATGACTAGTGGTGAACATTGAATATATTTAACTGCAAGATAAGTCCAAATCATAGGAGGGGATAATGTTGACAAACTAACATGTAATTGTTTTATACCTTGACAATGTATAAATGATTCAACCACCAAAAGTTAAAAATTAAGAAAGAGAGAAGGTGGAAGACAGAATAAGCTCATTGATTGGCTTATTTGTAATATTTGAGATATATATATAGATATAGATATAGATATAGATATATAAAACACTATCCAAAAGAAAGCTGGGGAAGCTATAATATACTAAACATAGGAGACTTCAGAAATATTTTCAAGGATAGAGAGAAACATTATATAATGATAAAGGGTCAATTCACCAATAGTCTAAATGTCTTTTAACTCATGAGTGGATAAACAAACTGATACATCCACTCAACGGAACACTACATAGCAAGAAAAAGGAAAACACTATTGATTCATACATAGACATGTGTAAACATTAAATGAATTTTGCTAAGAGACATATTGTATATATTGTAAAATTCCATTTATATGACATTTTGGAATTCTAAGGTTGGAAAACCAGTCAGTCATTGTCAGGGGTTGGAGTACACAGGGGTTGACTACCAAGGGATAGCACAAGGGAATTTGGGGGATGAAAGAACTGTTCCATTTGATACTATGCGGTGGAGATATATCTCTATGCACTCGTCAAAACCCATAGAGCAGCTGTACACCACAAAGAGTAAATTTTGCTCCTTGCAGAGTTTTAAAAGCTCAGCTAGAATATGAGAAACTCAAGATGAGATTATGACAAATGAATCTAACTGTGTTACAAATGAATGAAGTAACAGAACTGAAGGGCATGGGGGAAAAGGATGATCTAAGGGCTTTTAAAGACAGTGTTTTGACTGGACGGTAAAAATAAAAAAATTGGACACAAACATTACACCCTAGTTGGTAACTTTGTTTCTCATGGCACACGGGTTTGCAATTTTTTAACTACTTTATTTGTATACTAAGGTTCAACAAATAAGTAAATATATTATAGATTAAGAGAGCCAGGGTTCACATTGTCAAAGAAAGAAGTTACAGATAAATAAAGAGGATGCTAGGATGAACTCAGTGGTGCTGGATTTGAGTCAGATGTATCAGAATGAACTCATGTTTTTTCGTTTGTTTTTTAACACACAATATAGATAGATTGTATCAGAATGAACTCATGTTTTTTTGTTTGTTTTTTAACACACAACATAGATAGATAGATAGTAGGAAAATACAGATATGTATGCATGCATGATTAGTATACATGTGTATTTCCTAACTCTGTCCATTGGCAGGACCCAGAAGCAGTGACCTCCTAATAGCGATGAGTACATTTAGCACCCAAGTCTTGGTTTCTAAATACTACTCTCCAATGAAAGGAACCAGGACTCCTTGGGGAAATGGGTATTTCCAGAGCTAGGACAGGCGAAAATGCAATATGAGCTTGAAACAGCTTGTGGCACTAGAGAGTAAGAAAGTTGTTGGGGACTGAATAATGGCCCCCATGTATGCTCACGTCCTAAAATCCCCAAGATCTGTGACTGTTCCCTTATATGGCAAAAGAGATTTTGCAAGGGTGATTAAATTCAAGGTTTTGAGATGGGGAGATTATCCTGGATTATCCAGGCAGGCCCAGGGTAATCACTCTGTCCCTATAAAAGAGCCAAGGAGGTGAGAATCTGAGAAGACAAAGTGATGTGACAGTGGAAGCAGAGATTGAGGTGATGTGGCCAATAGGCAGGGAATGGTGACAGCCTCTAAAAGTTGGAAGAGGCAAGGCCCTAGAGCTCTCCAGAGGAACAAGCACTGCCCATACCTGGACTTTAGCCCGGTTAGACTGATTCTGAAGTACTGACCTCCAGACCTGTTACAGAATAATTTTGTGTTGTTTCAAGCCTAGTTTGTAGTAATTTGTTACAGCAGCAATAGGAAATGAATACAGAAGTACTCAAAAAAAAATTTTTTTAATGTTTTTAAAAAAGGATACGGGGCTTCCCTGGTGGTGCAGTGGTTGAGAATCTGCTTGCCAGTGCAGGGGACACGGGTTTGAGCCCTGGTCTGGGAAGATCCCACATGCCGCGGAGCAAATAGGCCCGTGAGCCACAACTACTGAGCCTGCGCGTCTGGAGCCTGTGCTCCGTAACAAGAGAGGCCGCGATAGTGAGAGGCCTGCACACCGCGATGAAGAGTGGCCCCTGCCCGGGCTTCCCTGGTGGCGCAGTGGTTGAGAGTCTGCCTGCCAATGCAGGGGACACGGGTTCGTGCCCCGGTCCGGGAAGATCCCACATGCCGCAGAGTGGCTGGGCCCGTGAGCCATGGCCTCTGAGCCTGCGCGTCCGGAGCCTGTGCTCCGCAACGGGAGAGGCCACAACACTGAGAGGCCCACGTACTGCAAAAAAAAAAAAAAAGAGTGGCCCCTGCTCGCCACAACCAGAGAAAGCCCACGCACAGAAACGAAGACCCAACACAGCCAAAAATAAATAAATAAATTTATTTTAAAAATAATAATAATAAAAAATTAAAAAAAAAAAAGGATACGGCCTTACTTGGGGTGTGGCAAAGGAGAGGGGATGAACTCAGTTATGATACATTTAAACTGTGAGAATAAGGGCTTTTCAAGGCAGAGGTAACTATGCCCTTAAGCTTTATTTGGTTAGTTTGAATGAGTTAATAATCTAAGTAGCCCATGGTCGTCATCATTTTTTAAAATGTCTCTGTCTTTTCACACACACATATATATATATGTTTTAACCAGAATCACAAAGAAATCTTAATTCCCTCAGGGTCTTTCTTTCTTTGTTCCCTCCCCCTTCCTTCCCTCCCTCCCTCCCTCCCCCACTTCCTTCCTTCTTTCGCTTGGTTGCTTAACTGATTAATCCAGTCATTTACTTTTACCTCTCACCTGATACTGGGGCCCCAAATCTACCGGTCATGACATCGAAGAAATTTCCGATGTTGGTTTCGACGCTGCTGAAGATAATCCCACTGTTCTGATTGCTGAAGTGAGTTGCCAGAGAAGCCATGAATGCAATCTAAGCAAAGAGTTGGTGGTTAATTAAAAGGCAATTTATCTTAGAGAAATAAGGTTTTGCTACAAGTAAGTTTATTTCACCAATATGTGTAACAGCAAGATTGGAAATAATTTAAACATTAATCTATAGAGAAAAATTAAATAAATCATGGTGATTTCTAACATTTTTATGCTATGCATCACTAAAAGTATATATCAACAGTTCTGAGCATGTGTTTCAATGAACATTAGACTTTAAAGTGCTTTCTGAAACCAAAATTCAAAGAGTCATGTACCAAAATGTCCATTGCAGCTCTATTTACAATAGCCCGGAGATGGAAACAACCTAAGTGCCCATGATCGGATGAATGGATAAAGAAGATGTGGCACATATATACAATGGAATATTACTCAGCCATAAAAAGAAACGAAATTGAGCTATTTGTAGTGAGGTGGATGGACCTAGAGTCTGTCATACAGAGTGAAGTAAGTCAGAAAGAGAAAGACAAATACCGTATGCTAACACATATATATGGAATTTAAGAAAAAAAACATGTCATGAAGAACCTAGGGGTAAGACAGGAATAAAGATACAGACCTACTAGAGAATGGACTTGAGGATATGGGGAGGGGGAAGGGCGAGAGAGAGGCATGTGACATATATACACTAACAAACGTAAGGTAGATAGCTAGTGGGAAGCAGCCGCATAGCACAGCTCAGGTGCTTTGTGACCACCTGGAGGGGTAGGATAGGGAGGGTGGGAGGGAGGGAGACGCAAGAGGGAAGAGATATGGGAACATCTGTATATGTATAACTGATTCACTTTGTTATAAAGCAGAAACTAACACACCATGGTAAAGCAATTATACCCCAATAAAGATGTTTTAAAAAATAAAGTGCTTTCTGAGATATTAAAATTCTATTATCATATAATACTGGAAAATTTGGATGAAATCTTCCACATATAGCTATTAAATGGCCATTAGCATATACTAAAGGATCCGAAAAGTCCGGCAGCCAGCTTTTTAACTTTGTTTGCCTTGTGTTATTTTCTCCAAAAAACACCTGTGATATTATGATTTATAATAAATATATATTTAGTATTCGCCCCCAGTTCTGGCAGAGAACTCCTAAAATCCTCAGAATTTCCTAAGTGTTGAGGGCAATCAAGGGGTCTTTTGTTATGTTAACGAGGTAACTTTGGAAAAACCCCTCGGGAGGGTCTGGTTGCCTGTGGAGCCAACCACGTGATTAGAGAGCTTTGAACTCTCAGTCCTCCCCCATCCCCCCCTTCTCAGCCCCTGCCCCCAAACCTCCGCAGAGGAGAGATAGGGGCTGGACAGAGAATCAGACACCAATAGCTAGTGATTTAATTACTCTTGCATAAGTAATGAAATCTACATAAAAACGCTCCGGACAGGGCTTCCCTGGTGGCGCAGTGGTTGAGAGTCCGTCTGCCAATGCTAAAAGACATGGGTTCGTGTCCCAGTCGGGGAAGATCCCACATGCAGCGGAGCTGCTGGGCCCGTGAGCCATGGCCGCTGGGGCTGCGCGTCCCGACCCTGTGCTCCGCAACGGGAGAGATCACAACCGTGAGAGGCCTGCATACCGCATAAAAAAAAAAAACCCAAACTCCAAGTTTTGGAGAGTTTCCCAGTTGGTGAACACATGGAGATTTGGGGAGAGTGGCGCTCTCAGATAGGGAGTGGAAGCTCAGTCCCCTTTCCCCACACCTTGCCCTATGCATCTCTTCCATCTGGTTGTGCTTCAGGTACATCCTTTTATAATAAATTGGTGAGCAAGTAAGTAAAATGTTTCTTAGTGCTTCTGTGAGCCGCTTTAGTAAATTAATCAAACCCAAGGAAGGGGGGGGGGTCACTGGAAGACAGAAGCACAGGTGATAACCTGAACTTGGATTGGTGCCTAAAGTGGGGGAAGTGTGGGGCAGTCTTGAAGGACTGAGCTCTTAAGTGTCAGAAGTGAGCTGAATTGTAGGACATCCAGCTGGTATCCGAGAATTGCTTGGTGGTATGGGAATAGCCCACACTCGGAAATTGTACCACCATTGGAGAGTCACATTTGAAAGTCAATGCCAGTCCCCTGTCCAAACGAGTCATTGAAACTGAGTGCGAATTAGATCAATAAATTCTTTAACTTGCTGGGATTATCCATCTTGGATTAATGGAAGTTTTAAGGGAGAGGGGTGAGAGAGGAGAGAGCAAATAATTTCAAGTTCTGGAAGACTTGGGGTGTGGACAGGGAGGCAGGCCTGGGAGAATCAACACAGAAAGGATTGGGGCAGTCAGAGGACAGTGTGAGGGCACCAGACACAGAAGGAGGAAGAAGGGGTGACACCGGAGGACGAGATTTAGAAATGGGGATGAAGGGGCCGGAAGTCACCCTCCGTTACAATCTGCCCAGGACCGATCTTGTCTCCACTTTTTTGTGTCTGTTTTTGTTTTTGTCTTTTGTTTTTTGCGGTACGCAGGCCTCTCGCTGCTGTGGCCTCTCCCGTTGCGGAGCACAGGCTCCGGACGCGCAGGCTCAGCGGCCATGGCTCACAGGCCCAGCCGCTCCGCGGCATGTGGGATCTTCCCGGACCTGGGCACGAACCCGTGTCCCCTGTATCGGCAGGCGGACTCTCAACCACTGCGCCACCAGGGAAACCCTTTGTCTCCACTTTAATGCCTCCTTCAAAACATGTGAAAGTAGTTCTCCCTAATGACCATAATGTGGTTTTAGGGTTAAAAAAGCTGATGGAGCAAATGTAATAATTGCCCAGGTGTTCTCCATTAAACTGGCTACTACAAGGCCCCTTAACTAGCATATAACCGTTCACAGATTTGGGTTAGTTTCTGGCTTTGAGAACCATCCATCTTATTAGGTACCTATAACCTGGGCGATGGCATCTGTCTCCTTTTCTTTGTAAATTTATACTGGCACACAGACCGCAGGTTGCTAAAATTATTAAACAGCAGTCATTAAAAAGTTACGAAAAAAAAAGACTTTAGGAAACCACAAAAGCAGGTTGAGTAACACACAGGATCTCTTAGCTTACCCTTAAAATAGCTTGATTCCCCCCAAAATGATGGAATTTATCCAAGGTCAAACAACTACCACATGTGCCCAAATAAAGGGTAAGGTTTTCCCCCACTGATACTTCAGAGTTGCTGTACCTTACAGTTCTTTGAAAGTTTCTCGTGTTATAGTATATTGTCCATGAAAATATTAATCAGTAATCAAAGACAGAAATTGGAAAATTTTATTTAGAGCCAACCTGAGGATTATAACCCAGGGGACAGTCTTTCAGAAAGCTCTGAGGACCGTTCTGAAGAGGTGTGGGGGTAGGGGGAGAAACCATTATATATGTGATTTTGGTGAAGGGGTCCATGCAATCAAGCACACATCTTGGTAGAAGGTTACTGCTATTCACAAGGAGCAGATAATCTTAGTTAATGGTTTCAGTGCTTTTCTAAGTAATGGTAAGATGCAAGAAACTGGGTTCATAAATTTCTCTCCTGAAAAGATTGAACTGTCTGAGGGCCAGTGCTGTCAATTTTCGCAGAGCACAAAATGTCTCATTCTGATCTTCACCCTGAATTCCTTTCACAGTGTATTGTAGGTCAGCGACTGCAGTGGTAATGACTTGGTTCTTATAGAACTGGATGGTGGGCAACATTCTTTATTTTACAGTCCTCTCCCTTTTGTTCTTAATTTCAACCAAGGTTTGGGAGGCATTTTGTGACCAATTGTCCCACTGCACTAGGAATGCGCATTCCCAGGTCAGGTGAGGATTTCCTTGACAGGACACTTCATGTGCTATTACTGGACCAGACCCAGTTAACAGTAGCCAAAAGCCTCTGGACCACCTGTGTTACTAATCTGTTACGGTCCAGGAAATGGCTCCCTCTTCTTGCTTCTTCCTATATCCCGAGTTACACTATTACAATCATTGATCTTACAGAACTATATATTTGGTCAATTGTTTCAAGTCCCCTAGTCATCATTATTTTTATTGGAAGCTCAGTCACACACTGGTAATAAAAGAAAAAATAATCTTATAAAATAGGCAGAACACAAGTAATATAGCTAGTAACATTAATAAGGTTGTAAGTAAGTAATGTTATCTTCTAAGGAGTTACACGTCTGGTGTCAAAAGAAGAGAAATTGATCTTTATGGTTGAGCAGTTATTTCTGCCATTGGGGAGGTCTGGTTAATGCATAATGCAGATGCACAATGCACACTAGAGGGGAGGGAGGAGGCCAAAATGGGCAGAGAAAAAATTATGTTTAAATTTTTCTTGTCTTGCCTTAAAATATGAATTTTATTCCATCAGTATGTTCTCTCAGTTACTTAATTTTAATCACTATTTACTGTTTCAGGAACACATACCAGCCAGAAACAAGCAATAAAAAATGCTAGTTTTCAATGTTGATAGGAGTCCCTTGGAAGTCCCATCTTAAAAATATTAGCCAAACAAATAAATAAATAACCCAGACTTAGTAATTTTCTTGGTGTGACCTAACCTTACATCTCACATTTGCAAGTTTTAGGTGTTACTGACAACAAGAATTTTGAAGATCACTTAAAAGAGAAATAAAGAACAGATAAATGGGGGACTTCCCTGGTGGCTCAGTGGTTAAGAATCTGCATGCCAGTGCAGGGGACACGGCTTCAATCCCTGGTCCGGGAAGATCCCACATGCCACAGAGCAACTAAGCCCGTGGGCCACAACTACTGAGCCCGTGCTCTAGAGCTTGAGAGCCACGACTACTGAAGCCCGTGCACCTAGAGCCTGTGCTCCACAACAAGAGAAGCCCGCGCAGCGCAGCAAAGAGTAGCCCCGGCTCTCTGCGACTAGAGAAAGCCCACACACAGCAATGAAGACCCAACGCAGCCAAAACTAAATAAATAAATTTATATATAAAAAAAGAACAGATAAGTGGGTAGTGGGCTTGAGATAAAATGTCCAATGATAGCCTCATAAATGAATTAAAAAAACTTTAAGCTGAAATGAATATGGTCTCATGACTCAAAATAAAATGCCTCCAGTAATAAAGAAGATACTGATGAGAAAAGCTTTAATAAAAATTAATGCCACGAAAACTGATTTGATAGAATTACTTGTATATTAATATCCATATATGTAATTTAAATATGCAAATGTAACAAAATTGATAAATACATGGAATGGTCAAATATTTACTTAATAATATTTTATGCCTCTAAAAGTTCACATATTCGAGTCGCCAAAAACCTTTTTATTGAACATGTCTCCTCATTTGGAAAATGGAGATTAGCTGACCTTCAGGGTTGCTTTGTAATTTGGTCTAATGAGGGTGTTGAATTTCACCCTTCGTACATTTCTCCCTAAGAATGATTTCAAAGCACTTTGACAGCATAGGTCTTCTGCAAACACCCTGTGGTGGAGATGAACAAATTGAGACAGGTTTACTCAACACTGAGGAGGTAGAAGGACTCAAGCCTTCTGATCCCTGGACCCTGAGTGAGGGTCATCTGGAGACGTGCCGAGACGATTTACCTGCAGTTCTGGTGGGATCCCCGGGTAGCCCTTCTCTCCTTTGGGGCCATGCTGCCCACGCTCCCCTCGTGGCCCCAGATCACCTTTGTCTCCTTTCTCTCCTTTGGCCCCTTCGTGGCCAGTGGCTCCGTTATTGCCATTGTTTCCATGGTTTCCTTAAACAACCGGACATCATCACATGAGAAAGCCCAGTCACTCATACTCACCATCTATTTTTATACAAATGCAGCTCCTTTCTTCAAAAATGCACAAACTTAATTGTAAAAGGGGACCATCTGAAACAAGCTCAAACACAGCCATGGTGACATCATTGGATGGGATCGCTTTTAAATGGGACACTGAAAACAGCCTTAGATACTCTTAAGGCTCCAGGCTCCAAAGCCTGTTTTTCCTATAAAGCAAGACTTGGATGAAAAATTGCATAGAGACATTATAAAGCATCCTTTATAAGAGCAAAGATTTGAAACCACCTAAATGTCCATCAATACTGAAAGGGCTAAATTAAAAAATGGTACCTCCCAGTAAATGATGTTATATAGTCACAAAAAAAGAATGCTGAAGCAAAATATTTAATAGCATGATATTTTTAAATAAAAAAGGTTATGAATCAATCAATAGTGATAGCATGATACTATGTATATGTGTATATATATGTATATAATATAATATAAAATATGTACAGGTTTTATCCAAAGGGGAAAAAGACTAGAACAAATTGCATAAAAATATTTTGCAGTGGTTTATTTTTTTCTAAGTGGATGAAGCACAAATGATTTTTGTGTCATTCTATACACTTTTCTGCATTTTTGAAATTTTCTACAAAGAACACGAACTACTTTTATAACTGGAGGAAAAGTAAAATCATTGATAAAAAATTATAACAGTGATCTTGAAAGCAAGACTTGGATAATAATTTCAACTCTTCACTTTACTTTGCTAAGAGATCATTTCTACACCTCTCCCTTTATTTTTATATTTGTTGAATTACAGGCCCTTTTGTTGTTTATTTTGTGTGCCACCTTTGGTCAGATTTCATACCGAGCTTGCAATTCTTCCAGGTTAATGAACTTTGACTGGGTTTACAAGTTAATGTGCTAATGACAAAACTGCTCCTGATGGGAAGCACATAGCCAAGGCCAGCCTGTCCTGTGACCTCAGAAGAGTTTAGACCTAAGAAGATTTTAGAGGGATCTGAAAGTCCCCTACCTGTAATCACTGTACGGGCTGCCCGCTGTCCTTGATGTTCAGTGACATAGATTCCAAGCTACTGATCATAAAGTCTAACAGAGCACTTTCTCATTCTATATTTGGTTTCATTTGACAAGCCACTCAAAAGTATTAAGAAAAATTAAACCTTATTTGTTAAATATTAACATCAATGGGAGTAAGTCAGAGAAGAGCAAGCAGACATTTGCCAAACCCTGAGAAAATGTTCTATCCCCAGGAATTGACCTGGAGACAAGAAAGTCAGTTAAACCCCCAGATAGATTTGGAGGTCCTGGGACAGAGGGCACCTGGGCCGCCCTTTCCTTGGCTGACCCTGGAGACTAGCAAGTTCCCCAAATGATCCATGTCTTGGGTGCCACTCAGTAGTAGAAATGGCTGAACAGTGGGACTAGAGGGACCCAGTGGAGCTCTACAGCATGCCCTGTGCCACCATATGGTGCTGGAGCCCAAAAATGTCCCCATGAGTCCAAGAGAGGCATGAAGGTCAACTGAGAGACAGCTGAGCACGGAAGGACCTGGGGGTTAAGGGAAGAAAAACTCAGCTAGACCTAGAATCAGACAGAAAGATGTGTAGCTCAGTAAAAGAGACTGTGAAGATGACTAAAACCCAGACCAGCAACCTCTCCTTCCCACTCTCACTTCCCAAACCCCCTGAAGCCTAGATCTAGTGCACTGGATGGAGCACACGGTGGCAGAAACACTGAAACAAGAGTATAAACCTGTTCAGCTCCAGTGGTTCCAGACTCCACACTGCGGAAGGGCCTCCTGGCCTGTAAGCTGGGGCCCCAGCATGCCTAATGCCTGTGGGATTCTGCAAGCAGTATGGATAATAAATACTATAGTTTATACAGTTCCACCTCATTAACTCAATAAGCCCAGTTCCCCACCCAACTCTCTTTGGGATTTTCCATGCATAAGCTTTGGATCACGCACAAGTGATCCCAGCTCACTGAGCTTCACCCCTGGCTCCTGTTTTGGTATAGTCTGAAATTAGACTGGAAACAACGTATCTCTCTCATCCTTACCTGGAATGCCAGGGAGACCAGGAGGTCCAGGGGGGCCTTGGTATCCTCGAAAGCTGTAGTCTCCATGACAACACTTGCTGCAGTCTGGGGGCAGTCCTCCAGTTTGTGAAGACTTTGAAAAAATACAAAGAGAAGCTTTAGAGAAAGGTACATATGAGTAATTAGAACTTTTGAGCTTTCTTCCTCTGGCCACAACCCCTAGGTAAGCTTAATTCCAAACAGCCTATGACAACATCAGAAAAGAAAGTGTGGGGTGACTAATGTCATCTTATGTCAATGGCAAAGGAGTCAGGGAGTAGCTAAGGTGAGGTGATAATCAAAAGGCAATGGAGGGCTTCCCTGGTGGCGCAGTGGTTGAGAGTCCGCCTGCCGATGCAGGGGACACGGGTTTGTGCCCCGGTCCGGGAGGATCCCACATGCCGCGGAGTGGCTGGGCCCGTGAGCCATGGCCACTGAGCCTGCGCGTCCGGAGCCTGTGCTCCGCAACAGGAGAGGCC